TGATGTGGATAACATATATTTATCGCCCTATCGTAGTTTGAAGCAAAATGGTACACATTTAAGAAAGTCGAGGAAAATAAGCGTAAATAGGGGCAAGTACAAAAATATAAGCAACGTCTCCGGAAAGACTTGTTTTCGAACACGACACCATTATTTGATAGGGTAAAATATGCAATATCCCCTTGTATTATATGAAATCTGCGCGTTTTCCCCTCGTATTTTAAAAATTGTGTCAAACCCCATTATATTTAACTAATGATAGCACGATACCCCCCTCTCCGTCCAACTTAATGGCGCGTGCAGTACACATGCCCGCATTGCAACAATTATTCATTTTTTATCTTATATTTTTTTAGTTTAAAATGAAAATTACTATTTTGTCCTTTGAAATAAAAACAAAATTCAAAAAATATCTTTGGTTCATCTTCAACATCAAAAAATAATAAAAAAAATCCAAAAAATGAAAAAAAAATTAAAACCGTATCTCCTCTGCTGCTCGACGTCGCCGAACTCAACCTTCGGTCCCTCTACTGAGCCATCATCGCCAAGTTCATCAGCCCCTCGTCTACTGAACCGTGGAGATGTCAGGTCCCACCCCCATATTTCATTCAAAACCCTAGATATGAAACAAAATCTAAAATTCTATCCCCCAAATGTCAATGAAATTTCCAGTAGGCAGCGGTCAAGAGAAGAGTCCTCTCTCACTTTTTTGGCTCCCGGATCTGAACATGGAGAGGCCGCCGGAGAGAAGAGAGTCCTCTCTCACGTTTTTCATCTACTCAATAATAATAATAATAATCAATAATAATAATAATCACAGGTGCACAAGTGTGTAAGAGAAGAGAGAGCTGTTGCTTGGATTTTCACGGTGGTGAAGTCGGAGACAGCGCCGCGTCGCCGGCCGCGACCGTCCATGATGCTCGTCAAGGTGTCGGGGCTCCACTTCTGTTATGACGCCGACGTCTCGATCAAGGAGGCTCTCGGCTCCCTCAGGTTCATCACCGCCACCGACGACCTCGGCAACGAGGTCTGCGCCGCCCCGATGAAGGCCCTGCCATTGTACAGATTAAGGGAGAATTCTTGTGGATGAAGTCAAATTCTTGGAAAAACTCCTCTTCAGCCATAGCCATAGGCCCCATACGCATAGACATATCTATTCTCCCAATTTGAGATCTGATTTTTTTTTATTATTATTTATTTATTTTCTTTGAAACTTAGGGTTTTCACCCTTTGGGGAAGGAGAGAAAAAAATAATGAGAAATCGGTTCTCTAACTTAAATGATGGGGACATAACAGGAAGTTTGACAAATATGTAACGGTGTTCTGACTCAGACACTAGTTGGGGAACGTCAGCTGGCAAACAATTAATATGAGGGGGTTTGAAGCAATTTTTAAATTACAGGGGGAAAACGCGCACATTTAGTATAATACAGGGGGATTTGGTGCAATAAACCCTTATTTGATATGGATAACATATATTTGTCGCCCCATCGTGTTTTGAAGCAAAATGGTACACGTTTAAGAAAGTCGTGGAAAATAAGGGTAAGTAGGTGCAAGTACGAAAATGTAAGCAACGTCTCTGGAAAGACTTGTTTTCGAACACGACACTATTATTTGATGTGGATAACATATATTTATCGCCCCATCGTGTTTTGAAGCAAAATGGTACACGTTTAAGAAAGTCGAGAAAAATAAGGGTAAATAGGGGCAAGCACGAAAATGTAAGCATCGTCTCCAGAAAGACTTGTTTTCGAACACGACACCATTATTTGATGTGGATAACGGGTAAATTGCACCAAACCCCCCTGTATTATACTAAATCTGTGCGTTACCCCCCTGTAATTTAAAAATTGCATCAAACCCCCTTTAATGTACTTTTGCATGCGCGAAACACCCTAAACCGTATAAGATAACGGAAGTGGTGTGCACGTGCGTGCTGTGCGGCTTTTTCTTCATTTTTTCACCCAAAGTCGCGGAAATATAATGATAATATAATATAATATATTAATATTATATATTTATAATATATATAATGATATTATAATATAATATATTAATATTATATATTTATAATATATATATAATATTATATATATATTATATACTATATATAATATTATATAAT